AAAAAAAAAAAAAAAAACAATATTACTCTGGTTTTAAAAGCTTTTTAACAAAAAAAGATCAAAATACTAAAATATTTTTTATTGTCAAGAATAAACTATAAAGATTTAAATAGAAATTATTATTGTAGTCACTTATACTATATGAATTTAGTTTAGTTATATTATGTAAATAGTTAACAAATATGTATTACTATATTAATAAAAGGTTATAGTATACAGTATATAAAATTTGTTTTGATTAAAAATAATACTATTACATATATTGTATTTTTATTATTTACTAATCGTATAGATAAAAAAAAGATGAATTTGCAAAAAAATAACAGACACAAAAAATTAATTATCTCATGAACTATTGATTAGAATGATATAATTTTGATACTATTTGGTTCATCTTATTGAAATAAATTGTACAGTATTAACATTATATAATTCTGATCGATAGTTTACAAGATAATTAATTTTTTGAGTTTGTTTTTTTTTTATCAAATTCATTATCTTTCTTAGCACCAGGCCCATATTATGTATTTTTGTAAAGTGTTGTTTATGTAATAAACTATAATACAGTAAATATGTAAATAATAGAATATAATTTTACTATAGATATAGATTGCTATATATTAAAAAAAAAGAAAAAACCTTATTAGAAAATTGCAATTTATATACAGTACACCCTCCCAAAACCAATTCTATCAAAACTGATAATCTGCTATAATTGATAAAAAATTAGTCCACCATATTTGTTCTATAATTAAAATTTGATAACCTGCCATTTCTGATAACCGGTACAAACAAGATTAGATATCTATAAGATATCTGTTTTGACAGATACTATAAATCAATTTGATTGGCTCAGATCATATTTTGTATAACAGATTATATATATAAGAAATATAATTTAGCCAATTATATTTAGTTATAATCATATAACAATAGACTATTAATATTTTAAATTTGATAACTTCTCAAACCTGATACAAAAGCCGTCTACCATGTGTATTAGATTTGAGAGTGTGTATTATACTACAAAATGGTTTTTTTAATTTACTCTATATTTTTATAAGATACTCTTTCTTCAAAGATACATTTTATAGAAGTTTTTATTTATATGTATTTAATAAGCCATTTTTATATTAAGATCTTAAAAACTTCAAAAGAATCTTGCAAAAGAAGGCAAAACAATTGCCTATTTTTGAAGGTATCTCACATTACTTGATAATGTTAGTTTTTCATATTCTTTATACTGTTTGATTTGTTAAAACTTTGACAACCTATTTGTTTTAAAAATGTTATATGTTGTGATTAAGCTTGGAAAGAAAATTTTAAAAACATGATTTTTTCAATTTGTATAATTTATAAAAATCATATGATAAAAAATTAGATATGATATCTTAATTGACTGTTAGAATAAGACTTTAGAGAAAAAAGATATATATTATAAAAATATATACCAAATATTAGATGATTTTTAGATTTGAGCCTAGAAAACTTAGATCTGAGCTAACCAATTTCTCTAGATTATTTGAATTGAAAGACCAAACCAAGAGTATAAAGCATAAAAAAATAAAATAAAATACTAGGATTTGTGAACCTTAATAAAAATAAGAAATAAGTAATAAATAACTAGTTAGAAAAGTTGTACTTAAAATACAAATTATATTATAACAGTATTCCAAAAGGTATTATAAGATACAAATACAATAATGGCAAACAATATATACTAATTAGAATAAAATTACAAATAAGCATATATTTTATATGTAGAACATAGCAATATAGTATTAGATTTACCTCAAAAATAAGCTAAAAGAAGTTTTAAGTTGGTTATTAATCTAGTAATATTGTATAGATTCATATTTATAAGTAGTAAGATTATACTTGGGTTAGATTAAAGATAGAATACACGATTTGTAACCAGAAAGTTTAAATAGATAGCTTTTTAGTTAGATTATAAGTATGGTAGCTAGTATAGAACCCTAGAGTAGACTATTTAAATTAGACAACCAAAAGTTGTACATGTGACTAGTTGTACTTTTATTACTAAATTTGTAATATTTAATAATAAACTACTGATTAAGAGATCATTATAAATTATAAAAAAAAAATAATAATATTTTTATAATAAAAAGTTTTATAGCCAAGTTGGTTTAAAAAAACTATTTGTAAATAAAGCTTTCTATATAGTTTATTTAAATTAAATAAATAAAAAAATAAACTAAAATAAAAAGTAAAAAAAATATTATTTGAAATAATAAATTAAAATTTAAAATATTTAAAGAAAATAATTATAAATATACTGAAGTAATTAAAAAAAATATATAATATTAAATATTTTTGTTTTAATGTTTAAATTAAAAAGATTAAATATAATTGTTTAAAGATATTTTGGCATATATAGTTTTAAATATTTAGTTTAGATTAATAGCAAAATAAATTTAAAAAATTATATAAAAATGGAAATTATTAATTTATATCACAGATAATAATTACTTGTAGCCAATTTGCCAATCAAAATTTAGAATTAGATATAATATATAAATTAATTTTGTGTAATAAAAACAAAAAATTTTTTAAAAAAATTTTTATATTTCAAAATTTTGTTTACAAAACTATCTTTTAAACTCTAATAAAAAAAATTCCTTGCTAAATTTTATTATTTAAAATACTTTAATCTTAGCTTTAACTAACTCTAATCTCTATCCTAACCTTAAAGAGGTTAATTTTTTGGTTTGATAAAAATTATTTATTTTTGTTGAGCATTAGTTTATAGTAACAGGTTACCATAGTAATACTATATGAATAGCCAATCAAAATTAAGCATATGGCTATATAGTAAGTTGTTTACTATTAGCCAATTAAAATTATCTAAAAATTGTTAAATTTTATAATAAAAAATAAAGAACATATAAAAAAAAATTGCAATAATTCTAAAATATGATTGGCTGTTATATGTAGGGTCACCATGAAGATGGATCTCTATCTAAAATTTGATATTTTTGTTTATATATTGTAAATTACAAGTAATAATCATCTGAGATAATTTTTAGTTATTTTCTATAAAAATTTTTAAACTTGTTATATACTTTATTTAACCAATTTAATAAATATAGTTGGTCAAAAAAATTATATATTTCAAGCCAACAATAATAAAATTCACACTTTCAAATTTACTAAAAATTGGTATAATAAAAATAATATTGTGTAACTTATATAATCTTTATAACTTTAATTTTAACTCTATTAAATACCTGTATGATAATTAGATATATATGTGCACATTCCTGTGAGTTTAAACTATTCAATTTGCTGCAGAATAAGTGATTTAAATTAATAGTTTAATCTTGTTAAAAGTATGTATTAACATTCTCTTGCTATAATTGCTGTTAATGAATACTCTACACTGTATTAAATCTTGTAAATAGTTTATATATATATGGTTGTTAAGGCCGTTTGCGATTGAAACTTCGTTTAACATTATTTTTTTTTCGTATTTGTAGGGGGAGAAGTAAAAATTAAACAGACATAAAAATTAAACATAGTGTACCGAGAAATCCCGAACGTAAGCCGAAAAATCCCGACCGCTATCATATCGATCAAACTTTCATTTCTATTCGTTTAATTTTTGGGAGAGACCTAGGAGATGGAGGGGGGATAACGTTAAACGAAGTTTCAACTTCAAGCGGCCTAAATAAAAAAATTAACCCGAATTAATATATAGGTTACCGAGAATTCACGAATCAAAAAATGATTGTTATGGAAAAATCCGGTGATTTATGCAGGGAAGTGTACACATAATAACTACAGTATATGCTAAGAAGCGCTAAACATTCCCGGGAAAATTTTATACATAAATTTTTATTGAGAAATTACATAATTCAGATCTTATTCATCTTAAACATATTATAAGAAGCCAACAGTTTCATAGGCATATAAAAGATCGAATGATGATTCGCGGACTTAATAAATGGGATTAGAGCATAAAAAAATAGACCGAAATTGCAAACAACCGATGATAACGAACGATAAACAAAAACTAAATCGAGCCAAATGATCGAGAAAACCGCATATTTTAAGTAGGAATATTCTATATATGTATCGCTGAAATGTCTAACTTAATTACTTCTACAAAATAGAGTGCATTAATGACTGGAGATTAAATAGAAAAAATAGGATTATATATATCTAAAATATCGATTACCATTATTAGTGTACGTGTACATATATTGAAAACCATCTTCATACGATATGAATTGCTATATTTTAAATCGAAGATATTATTATGTTTTAGTTAAACTGATCAGAAAAAACTTCAAGATGACCTGGCCTGTGAATTATTCGAAATATTTGGCATAATTACGAAATTCAGTATATTATAAATAAAATCCAAAGCATGAAAATAAAATTTAAATATTTGAATGTTTGAACTTCAAATATTTTAAGATTTAACAAATGTCTTAATATTTTCTAAAAACTTGATCGCGACAATCACGTGATAACCCGAAGAAAATTTTTTTAATTGAATTCTACAGATTGCTAAAATTTAAATAAAAAATTTTCATCGAGTTTGGTCAAGTGATTGCGAGATATCTTGGGTCAAAGTATTAAGGCATTGTTAAAGCTTAAAATATTTGAAATTCAAATATTCAAACATTTTTAAATATTAATTAAGATTCAAACTTTGAAATTGATTTTGAGAAACCTTAGTATAATATACAGAATTATATTAAGTGCTCGGTGTTCTAATTGGATTTGGTTCAAATGGATTGGACAAAGCCCAATTATATAATATAGATTTGTAGAATTCAAATAAAATTATATATTTTTTTCATAGAGCCTAATGCCGGTCAACTCATGAAAATTATTTACGCAGAAATCAGTTACTTACTGGCATTATCGACACTGGGCGAACGAATGAAAAATTTGGCGTTATATTAAACTCTGCCGTTTTGGGTGATAAATAGAGTTTAATTGGTAAAAAAAAAAAAAAAAAAAGAAAACCCTCACATAAAAAAATAGGTTATTAAGTTCTTACCTTCTGTTTGAATTGGAGAATCACTTTTGTTCGATTCTTGAGTCGAAATTTTTTTTGCGACTCCTTTAGGTGGACCACGTTTGCTACTCGGAGTAATAAACTCACATTTTAGGTTGTGTTCCTTACACCGAATACATAGAGGAGGCCCGGAACACTTGGACCTCCTCTTCCTGCAACAACAGCAGGCTACAGTGACTTTTTGTCTTACGATAGGAAGTTTATCCCTTTGTTTTTTTTTCATGATTATATAAAAAATAAAGAAAAGAATGAATAATTTTAAAATATGAATCTAATGTAAGAGAACTCTAGGATAAACATCTACACAAACTCAACACCTTGAAAGTTTTAAAATGAAAGATAATTTTTACCTTTATATTAAATACAAAATTATAGACAATGATACTAATTACCAATTTATCAACACACATAATATATGCAGATAAAACAATAGATTTACAGAAGCAGGCTTTAAAATTAAAAGTGTACTTCCAATTAATTTCTCATGAAGAAATGAAATCTACAAATTGACATGTGTAAAAATGGTTGATACGTACTTTTCGAACATGAGGCTTAAAATATGTATGTGATGCGTTTTTGTTTTTTTTTTTTTTTCTTTTTTTTTTTTAGTTTGTTTTAGGTAGAATCTCTACACAAGATGATGGGACTTTAAATATTTAAAAAATATGGTAAATATGTAAAATGCACAATAGGAGTTATTCATGATTTTTTTTTTTTTTTTTTTTTTTTTCAAAAGTGCGATAATCGCTTTTTTTAATATTATTACATATTAAACCTGACTGCCGATCTGGTATTAGGTATGTACGTACTATACGTACATACGTACGTACGTATGCATACGCATGTACGTACCTGGTAGTACCTGGTACGTACGTACGTATTTAATATAATCAGGTGATTTAAATTAATATCCGGTAAATTGGATCATTCCTATTTGGTTGCACGATGCACGTCAACGCACCGAGTATATACATGTCAAATCTCCAAATCCCGTGTGCAAACAAATGACAGTTTGTCACTTTAAACCGTTTGATGTCTGCTGAGCTCTATAATAGATTTACATGGGTATCTAAAAGTTAGCTTTTCGTCTTAATTTTCTAACCTAAAAATAACGATCAAGTTAGATTGTCTGCAAAAAGAAAAATAAAAATAAAATAAAATAAAATAAAAATACTTTAGCATTATAATAATGTCGCTTTGATCCAAAGCCAAGAACTTTTTTTAATATAAGAAATTATCGTAATCGTCGTACAAAAATGTTTTTAAATGCATATGGCGACTAATATTACAAAACAATGAAAACAGGTTGCACAATATGGATGATTTATATTTCTATAAATGTTTTAATAAATTCGAATTCGTGATAGGCAAGCAGGAAGTGTCTTGCATGGCATATTTCGTGAGAAATTTTTAAGATAAATTGTTATAAGTTATTTACCGAACAATGTAAAGATGGAAATGATTGTTCTTTTGATTGTTAACCAGAATTTTTTTTTAATTTTTTTACATACAGTGTTAATAAGTCAATAAAGAAAAAAAAAAATGCTTATTGACGTGTATCATCATCCTGCATTAAGGTGCAAAATTAAAAACTCGTTTTTTTAAGTATTAATACACATCAATCTGCATCATTTCGGCATATAAAGTCACATGTACCACAGGTAACTACAGAGGTGAAATTAGCAAATAATTTTCAAAGTTTTCAATTGTTTTAATATTTTAATATTTTGATATGTCCTATCAATTTCCATAGCATATGTACGTATTACAATTTATCGAAAAAGGTTAGTCCTTGTTAAAACATTTCCTACTAAAGGTTCTGATGATAAAAGTAAACAAATAAATGAATGCTTTTATTTAAAATTATTCATTGTAGGGATCCGCTAACAGTTTGCGTATTTGATCGTCACATGTTAAATTATTTTTAAAATTTTTTCACTTCTTTGAAATTAGGTTAACTCGTCACATGTCAATTTCAAAGTGACAGGGAATGACACACCATTTTGGCAGATTATCAAACAAGGAAGGTGGAGTGACTTAATGAACAGATTATTGGTACATTATGGCATTTTGGTACACCGTTGGAATTCGTTTGCGCTAGTTCATTGATCCATTGCTTCATTGTTAATATTAATCCTAATTTATTATAAACATATATTTTAGTTAGTTAACCTAACAAATATAGTATATATATATACAATATACAGTATACTGTATTAGAAAAAATTTTTTTTGTATGTAAGGAAAAAAGTGTTTCATTACTCCATCTCTTCGTTTCATAGTGAATGTTTGCACTAGTTATGTGTGACGTTACAATGAAATGACAAATATTCGCAAACAATCGTTCCCGTATCAAGGTGATTGTTGCTTTTATCTTTCGCAATGTACACGTGAGGTATTAAAATTATTTTGCAGATATATATATAAATAATTAGGAATGTTTCACAATGTGACTTTCAATAAGTCCTAAATTATTTTTTTTGATCTGCAAAATTTGTAAAATTAGGTTCAACGCGCAACGCCAAATTTTACTTTTCTGACACTACAGTATATGTATATATACTTTTTATTTGATGTATATATATTTAGCCATATTTTACTGACTAATAAGGATAGCATTTTAACAGGTCCCTATACTGGATAATTCGTGCTAGAGTTAATTAGTCTTAATCGGTTCCAAGGATTTTTTTCCCCAAGATACTAATCTAACTTGTATTAAAAAATTTATTTTTGCATTTCATTTAAAAATTCCTTTTATCTGATTATCAACTGAAAATATCCTTGAGTGCATTTTATTGTATATTATTTTTATTTTATAATTACTGAATTATAATTTGACGAAACTTATTCGATCAAATGATTGCTATATTTAAAAAAAAATTGCTGTGTTAGAATTAGAGCTATGTTAGGGTTAGGTGAGGTAATAAAGAAAACATTTACCTAACTTAAAAATTTATCATAAACGACTTTTTAAAAAAAGCGCGATAGTTTTGTAGTTTCAATTTTCACGTTACATCTGATCTTGCATCCTTATTGGATCAGAATGTATGCGCAGTGCTCCAGGTCTTGAATAATAAACTAGCCAATGTTTTACTTTTCAGTACCCACGTGCTATAGAAATTTTTAAAGAAAATCTAATTTAGATATATATATATATATATATATATATATATACTGTATATATATATATATATATATATATATATATATATATATAGTCGTATACGTAGTCTACTTTTGTTATGGTTTTATAAGAACTATTAACTGAAACTTAGTTGACAGGGATTGCTTCTATTCGAGACACGGATAGATTTTACATTACAGTTTTTTAATTCTGGTTGCGGTTTTAATGGTTGTGAATTTTGTTTTAGAATGTGGAATCGGTATTTAAAACAATTGTAATGTATTTCGCAAAAGTTTCCAATTAAAATTTCAACTCAAGAATTTTCTTTTATTCAAGATAAGTAAAGCCTTTATTTCAAGATCTAATTACGATCTTATTATTGTGACCTTACTAATACAAATTTGGGTTCTCTAAAATTTTTTAGCTACGGGAATTGAACGAATCCAAATATTCAATTTATATCGTTGTCAAAAATGAAACGAGTCAGAATTAATACGTAATATGCTCTTTTAATCGTGAAGTCTGTATCCACTATAGCTGGCACAAAAAAGTAATTGTGAGGATAAATGCGAAAATAACTCTTGCAAATGTAGACGTCCTAATTTGGTGTGTGAAGGCGAGTGTCATTCGCATAGTATTAAATGCAAAAATAAAGAATTTATATAATGATAAATATAAATATAATAAAATTACATATTTTTATTATCTTTAAAATTCTATTCCCACTCAACATATATATCGATTTAATAAATTTTTAAATTGGTATAAGTAAAATAAGGAATTTGATTTAATATTGAATAAAGATACTGCATCAGTTTTTACTGATGCTCGAAAATCTAGGGTTTATGACCAAGAACTCATCGATTTGAACCTTTAATTCTGTTCATGATGTCAAGAGATCATGACGTTAATTCTTAAACTTAGCTATTATAATCACAGACTTGATTAGTTACGTTTTTCAATATATAAGAGTTGATTCTTACTTAATTAGTTATTTTTTTTCTTTTCTCTAAAAATGTAGTACAAACAGTCATGGGGACAAGAATATATAATAATGGTTTATAACAACAGAAAGGATAGCTTAATAGCAATTAGTAATTAATATCGCGGCTGAAGCTGGAAATTTTAATTATTTTAATATGAAATTTTCAAAAATTTTTGGGGCCTTTATTAGGGTTTTTTTTTTTTTTTTTTAGGATTAGATTAGGGTTTAGAGGTAGTTTTAATAATAAAAGAGTATATTTTTGAATCAAATCTCTAATTTTCAATTTCAGCTTCAGCCGCAACAATTAATAACTTGTATAATAATAGGTATAAAAGTTTTTTTTTAATATAAATATAATAGAATAAGAATTGTTAATACTAATATAATTAATATATTATTAGTAAAAAAAATTAGTTATACAATATTTATACTGTGTAAAAAATTTATAAAAAAACTAGCTATA